ACTCTTCAGATAGGCCACAGAAGGTGATTCATGGGGCAGTGCTGTGCAGTGCAGCACTAACGTTCGGCTAAACTTTCCACATAGAGATACCTAAATTCAATGCATCTCTATGAGGAGATGCTTATTGGCCAAACTGGTGTCGGGCCTCACCCCCACCCCACCTGCTTGATGATTTCAGCCAATCCAATGCTTTCCCTATGGAGAAAGCATTGGATTTACTGAGCTCCTCAATTCTGATGATGTCAGTCAAGGAGGCGGATCAGGGGCGGGGCACAGCGCTGGAAATAAGATACATTTTATTTCCTTTTACAAGGGGATAAGGGAGGGAACAAGCCACCTAAATAGTGGTTTTAACATTATAGGGTCAGGAATACACGTTTGTATTCCTGACCCTATAGTGTTCCTTTCAATTTCAACTCAATAAAAAGATGACTTTACCTGAAATACGATTCGAGATTTTTCCAGCAGATATTGTGAGGTTATGGCACCGCAAATTACGCCCCTGAATGGGAAAAATATTGAAAAATAAATTTCTTTTACAAGAATAGGAAAATAAAGTTGATATTTAAATCACTACGTTTAGATTTACAAGTACATTTTTTCCATGAGCTCCCATAAATCTACTGATTCATTCAGTCTTTTTGGCTTAAAATGTGATATTCTTCTCTTTAACCCCTTAAGGACCAAACTTCTGGAATAAAAGGGAATCATGACATGTCACACATGTCATGTGTCCTTAAGGGGTTAAATGTACCTTAAATGTTTTGCAATCCTCCCGTAAGTGAAGTGAATAGCTTAGATTTACCAGGTTGTCTATAAGAAACCTGATATCTTCCTTTAGTTTTATTGTTAGTTTTAGTATGATGAAGTAAGACAGGCAAAGATCCCAGTGTCTTGACATATGAAATGGATCCACACCACATGTCCAGTGATGGGGCTGTCAGTGATGGGGCTGTCGGTGATGGGGCTGTCGGTGGTGGGGCTGTCAGTAATGGGGCTGTCAGTGATGGGGCTGTAAGTGATGGTGTTGTCAGAGATGGGGCTGTCGGTGATGTGGCTGTCAGTGATGGGGCTGTCAGAGATGTGGCTGTAAGTGATGGGGTTGTCAGTGATGGGGTTGTCAGTGATGGGGTTGTCGGGGATGGGGTTGTCAGGGATGGGGCTGTCGGTGATGGGGCTGTCGGTGATGGGGCTGTCGGTGATGGGGTTG